TTAGAGAATATTTTATTAAAAGTAGTTTTTCTCGAAAAATCAGATTCCAGATGAAGAGGCGGCGAAAAATATGCATATACATTATGTGCAAAAAAGCGCGAACGTACCGAAAATTGAAATCGTACTCAAAAATATATCAGAATTATAGCGAGTGAACGATTTGATGTGTGCGGGCTTTTAAGTGCAATTAAAAACAAAGCTTGGAAAATTATATATTCAAACAATTCGGTACGGTTCGTATATGTAGCCGTTCGCGCGCACAGAGCGCAGTCATATGCAAGGTAAACTTGGTAAACCTAATCGAATTTCTGATTGAGCATAAACTTACATACTATTCCCATTGTATGTAGCTTGTAACGATCGTAGTTTGCCGAAAAATAAGGAGACTCGAGAATTCATGCAGGAAACTAAGCAAGCTTGCGATTAAGAAACTTTGGATGGTGTAGATTGCTCAAAGATACCGTTGGCTTTGAAAGAGGCTTTCGAGTACTGTAAAGGCGATGATAACGATCAAGAGGAGTACAATATCGACATGTAAGCAAAAAACAAATGTTATTTTTCACATTTTTTTATAAGATTTTTTATTATAAATTGTTAATTAGCGGCAGTACACCATCTCAGCAATTAGTTGATGTTGTTCTTAAAGACCAAACAATTGAAACGACTAAACGACTAATAGTGTCGATGGAGGTGAGAGACTAAGTAAATTGCATAATAATCGCTTGCGAACTGATTTAAAACGAGGTGCGAGCGTGCGCCTCGGTTGCCAATCTGCTACCATCCGGAGACCAATCCCCATTCAATTGTAGTTTTATGGAAGCAGGAAATAAGAATTTAGGCGATCCTGAGCCAAGTTTAAGTATGAACAATACATTCGCAATTGCATTTGCCTTCGACCGCAACAATTTTGGTACAATGAACCAGTTTTAACAAACATGGAATGTGCATTAGCAAAAACAATCTATTATTATTATTATCTTATTGGGTAATCAGAATAACGGCGAGGCATACCTGCTAAACCTAAAAAATGTTGAGGGAAAAATGTTAAATTTACTCCAATAAATATTACTATAAATTGACTTTTTAATATTGATGAATTTATAGTTAAACCTGTAAATAATTTGAGTAATTTGAGTTCCATGAAGAGTAGCTAATCAACTAAAAATTTTAATTCCAGTTGGGACTGCGATAATTATTGTTGCAGAAGTAAAATAAGCTCGCGTATCTACATCTATCCCTACTGTAAATATGTGGTGAGCTCAGACAATAAAGCCTAATAAACCAATAGCTAATATTGCGTAAATTATACCTAAAGATACAAAAGTTTCTTTTTTTCCTGATTCTTGACTAATAATATGGGAGATTATACCAAAACCATGCAGAATTAAAATATAAACT